TCTCGTGGGTCGGTGGTTCTTTCCGGTGATTTCCCGGTTTCTTCCTCGACCATTAATACTGGCCGCCATAAATAGCCTATCGTGAGCTGAAAAATGGCGTTAAGCCCAACAACAACAACAACAACAACAACAACAACAACAACAACACACGAGTATCATTTTCTCCTTTCATTGAAAGTTTGAAAAATATCAGCATAAGCATATTTACATATGAAAATCTGTGTACAAGAATTACAACACGAACATGCCAAAGGTATACAAAAGTCCGTATACCAAATTAGAACAGATTAAAACAACTGCAGCTGCATTTACGAAAGTAAGTGAACAACATTCTCAGTCTATTTCCATCATATTGAAGCTACCTGCACTTTCTGATGTTCTTCCAGTTTCTGTAACAATCCCTGTCTCTCATCTATTCGGGAATGTCATTTCCTGATTCTTTTCTGTCTGTATAGTGCAAATGGTAATTGGATGAGTGACAAACAGTGTCTTTAGCATGATTAACAACCTCTTATATCCAAGCATTAAAACCAAACAGACTTTCTCAGTCACGTACATTTTTCTGATGGTATTGTTCACAAATTATCTTCGACAAATCTGCTGGTAAACGAAATCCGAGAAAAATAGTCATTAATACTCCCCACTCGTACTATAAAATTCAATGGAATCCTATGCGGAACAAGTTCATATAACCTTATTGGTAATAATCCTTTACGTCTAAACACAATTCCTGGAATTTCTTCCACGAAAAAATTTCCAACACTGATTACAATGGACGCCGTATGACATGATTTATATATATATATATATATATATATATATATATATATATATATATATATATATATATATATATATATATATATATATATATATATCCTACGGAGATTCGAACCCAGGTATCTGCCAGACCATAATTTTTTAAAAATGATAATGGAAATATATAGTTGTCATTATTTATCATTGAGATTTCGATTGAGATTTTATACAAAAGGCAAAATAATTCTATTTCTGTATACTCTGTGTGTGTGTGTGTTTGTGTGTGTGTGTGTGCCTATTGGACTGTACATTTGCATGTGGATGTGCTTATTTGTCTGTACATTTTGTGTGGATGTGTTTACCTGTCTATATATTTTTGTAGATGTGTTTATCTGGCTATACATTGTGGGCATGTACTTATCTATCTTCACAAGTCAGTACATTGTTGTAGATGTGTTTAACTGTCTGTGCATTGTATATATTTACATATCTCGCTGAACATAAAATATATTCCCTCTTATCTCTTAACATTGTGTATAAGTTCTTACCAGTCTGTAAATTGAGTGTATGAGCTTATCTGCCTGTACATGTCTCTGTGCATGTGCTTAGCTTTGAAATTTCTGACTGTTTGTGCCTATCTGTCTATACATTTCTGTCTGATATTTCTGACTATATGAGTCTATCTGTCTGTATATTTCTGTCTGTGATTCTAAATGCCTGTAATTGTGTGTGTACTCATCTGCCTGTACAGTCACTATTTGTTTATATATTTGCTTGTATATCTGTACATTTCTATGCGTATGTGTCTATCTGTACATTATGACTGTCTCTAAATTTCTTCGTGTATATACGTCTATCAGTATATTCCGGCGTCTGTATATGCAGTCTAACTTGTACGCAACTCCAACAATGTTGAAGAGAAAAGTATTTCTTCCGTTATAGGGGAATGACTCTTAGAAAATTATCAGTGTTGGCTTGCCATGTTGCTTTTGATGACAGGTAAATATCCTACTAATGGCAAGACCCAATGGCAGCTATTCGCTCGGCGATCGATCAATCGTGTATTTTACATGACCGTCCTAAGTATCTTGCTGATTCAGTAACCTTCCTTTGTGATGAGTTACAAGTATGATATATTTCCCTACATGCAATTCATTGTTATTACTGTAATTTTATAAACAAAAATGTTTATAAACAACAAAAGAAAAAATACAGCCAATGACTCGCTTGCTGATAGGACGATCGTCTGATAAGGAGTTAACGTGACATTCGACATTAGCAACAAATTGTACAGCTTCATTTAATAGACATCATCTGATGATAAACATCTAGGCGAATTAATCATATTCTTCTTGAATTTTTTTTTTATATTTATTTAATGTTTACAATGTTTCCTTTAGGCATTGGCCAATATGCATAGATAATTCATATTGCCTTCGTATTCCACTTGTCTGTTTTTTTAACAGATGTTGATTACCTGATGATAGCGAATGTCATATGTTTCTCCGTTGGTTTCGGCTGAAAGTATGGCACCAAATTACTGTCGAATACAGATACAAGCATCCTAAATCTTTATACATACATACATACATACATACATACATACATACATACATACATACATACATACATACATACATACATACATACATACATACATACATACATACATACATACATACATACATACATACATACACACACACACACACATACATACATACATACATACATACATACATACATACATACATACATACATACATACATACATACATACATACATACATACATACATACATACATACATACATACATACATACATACATACATACATACACAAACACACACACACACAAAAACACATACATACATACATACATACATACATACATACATACATACATACATACATACATACATACATACATACATACATACATACATACATACATACATACATACATACATACATACATACATACATACATACATACATACATACATAAAAACACACACACAAAAACACACATACATACATACATACATACATACATACATACATACATACATACATACATACATACATACATACATACATACATACATACATACATACATACATACATACATACATACATACATACATACATACATACATACATACATACATACATACATACATACATACATACATACATACAAACATAGAAGGTGGGGAGTACGCAAAAGTTATTTCAGATATCAGTTGCTTATTTCTAGCAAACCTTTCCCGAAAAGTCCCTTTAGAGCAGAAAATAGAATTTTGAAGACTGCCACCAACACACGTTTGTCTGTTTATTTATCTATTTATGATACATGCTCCTGTCTCTCTGTCTTTTTGCAAGTTCTTGGAAAGTTAAGGATTATTATTACCTTTTATCTTATATTACGTCCTGCTGAGACATTTACAAGAAATTTAGTCACGTGCACGTCATTTTAAACCTATGCCATCATTTTAAACTTGATACCATCTAGTAATATTGCCCCGTCCAAAGATTAAATAGATTGATAAAAAATTATATTACCTGAATAGTCCGACGCCTATATACACATAATTCAAAACAATTTGTAGGATTTGTCGTAGATTCGACCGATTTTCCACTCTAGACTTAAGGTGGAAATCGACTATACAGTTTCACATACATTCAAATACTAGCGGAGGAGTTAGATAATAAGATAGCGTAAAAATCATTATCACAAAATCATTCTTGTAGATCTGAAAGATTGGACTGATACTCTCGAGAACTGAGTAAAAAATTACCTCATGAAACAGTAGACGTTGCATGAAGTTCTGGCTACTTCTGTGCCATAACTCATCCGGCCCCCCCCCAAAAAAAACTTCTTTAAAAATAGTTGAATTATATATACGTTTATATATATATATATATATATATATTTTTTTATATATATATATATATATATATATATATATATATATATATATATATATATATATATATATATATATATATACATATATATATATATATATATATATACATATACATATATACATATATATATATATATATATACATATATATATACATATATATATATATATATATACATATACATATATACATATATATATATATATATATATATATATATATATATATATATATATATATGTGAGTCCTGTGCATTTCCCAAGGACATTTCGAGGATGCATAACTGGGTCATCCCATGCTTTAGGTGTATCTGACTGCGTAGTATGTACGTCAAAACTAGATAAAATGAGTTCAATTGCCTATACTGTGCTGAACACATCTCTTTGAAATTAACAAACGACGTCATGTTATAAATATCCATCTCCGCTGAAGCACAAATGGATGATTTCTTTTTTCGTATCTTGCGAACCTTAGCAATTATCTAAACAAATACCATAACATAATGATATCGCTTTTGGTGCTGTTGTTAGGTGTTTAGCGCCATTCTTCAATGTATGATAAGCCGCCATGGCGGCCAGTTTTTTTTTGCTGGAGAAAAAACCGGGGTGTATGAATCACCGATCAACAGAAAGCTTATTGGCACACTTTCTTACATACCAAATAGGTTAAGCCCGATACTCGAACCCAAGAGGAAAGAGGTGAGATGCTAATGAATTGTGTATGAAAATCGGATCTTAAAAGTGTATATCTTCATTTCCATTTTCAGTTATCATAGAAAAGCAAATTTCGTATTTAAAAATGTTCACAATTTTTTACAATTATTCTGTAATAGAACACCAGCTTGTCTATATCGAATGATAATAGTATGGGGAAGACTGCAATACTGTTCACGCTCAAAATGAAGCTGACATAAATCACTACGCTACATAAAGTGTAGTTCTGTATCCCTTTTGTATTTTTACATTTGTTTGGTCATTCAATGCGTAGATATACGTTCCGACGCGCACCGACAAGGAACTCGCCTAGACATAATAAATCCAAATATCCAAATAAATAATATCTTTTATCTGGAGTGTGCATATACTTTTGATTTGGGTTTTTAACGTAGCTTTAACAATTTGTAATTCGTATCGCTTTGACGACTTCAGTGTAACAGTTTATAGTGATGTCTAGCACTGGGGCATCATGCTTGCATGTCTTTCCCAGTCACATTATCCTGACACCAGGACTACCAGTCATAAGACTAATCTCTTAATAATGTGCACCAAACCAGGCAGCCACTAGTACCATTTGTATAAGTCTTTTGGATGACTCAGCCAAGTTCGAACCCGTGACCTCCTGTATCCGAGGCAGGCGCTCTAACCACTTAAGCCACTTAAGCGGTGTTCTATATCTGGAATTAACTGTATTTTAATAAAACAAAACTCTTCCAAATATTATTCTGGTTCTGGGTCTCTCATATTGTTCCAGACACAGGTCTATCGGACGATTTATATAACAAGAACAATTACTTGTTAATTTCCTAGGACTCCTGACTTTACTATTACGAGGAAACTTTGACTGTAGAATTTTGTGATTGAAATTACTTAAATATTGAATATCGTAAAAACAACTCCTCGTTCAGCTTAGCAAATCAGAATTAACTTTCTATAAGTGCCAAAGTTTTGCACTCTCCCATCGAAGTCAATAATTATATTTCGTCCGCCATTATTAAAAAACTACTATGAGAAAATTTCATTTAATGTCACCTATGTCCAGTGGACCAAAATTGTTCTTGGCTTGTCTCAACTTTGTCATCTTCCGTTACTTGACCTGTCGTTAGCATATTTTCTCTAATCATTATCGGAATAGATTCTAATTAAAATTCACTAATGCCCCCGAATAAGAAAGTTAACCATTGCAAGTTACCAATTTATTGTAAGCCAAGTCCATACATCAATCATAATGGTTGCGTGTCACAATGTGCTGCGACGAACACTTACAAAAACTTTGCACTAATACCGCCATAAACATATATACGCATACTAATTTGTACCTAACAGCCATAAAAGTGTTGTACCTAATGATATATACAATAGCTTCATACGTTTCTGATTCGCTAGGTACCATATCTTGAACAACCGCTGTTCATAAAAGCATACCTCAAACAAAAAGAAGACATGGCTTTCTCTATTTTTAAGTATTACAATATACGAACATTAGCGAAAAGCTCTTTTCCATGCGAACATCAAAAAATATATATTATCAATTATCTAGGGGTTCCACTCAGAGAAACGGACGTAGGAAGCACACCTACCGACTCACTTGAAACGTCCGTGTATCTGTCTGCCCGATCTGTAGCCAAAACATAATAGTTATCTTATTTCCTACCTTGATTAACTGTCAAAGTCGTGTGCAGTTTTATCTACCTTTTATATTAAACACGTGCATATCTTAATTTCCTATTAGTAGATTGTCTGATTTAAAGATTTCTTAAATAATGACAGATCAATAAAACCTGAGCAATCCAGTGATTTAACACAGGGAGAAGTCAAGACATACAAAACTGATATATTTGACACAACACAACACAATACGAGACAACTCAATGACTTAACACAGAGAAAATTCATGATATATAAGACTGGCACAAATTTGACACAAGTCAATGAATTTGCACAAAATTTCAAGATATATAAGACTGACACAGATGTGACACATCTCAAAGACTTAACGCAAAGCGAATTCAGGGTTTATTAGTCGAACACACTTTTGACATATCTCAGCGACGTTATACACGGAGAATTTAAGACATATAAGACTGGCACTTATCTGAAAGTTCTCAATTTCTTCATAATATGTGGGAACTTTCTATACAATCACCTGCACATTTTATTTCTAACCCCAGCAGAATGATTCTGAAACATTGCCTACAGTCATGAGCAATAAACTTTTCTTCTTGCTGTTTTGTTCGTGGTTACCACGATGGTGGTGATGAGGGATCTTTGACCAACGAAAAAGGTCATCTTTTTCGTATGCACCCCAATCAGAGTCCGCCGTAATCGGAAATGTTCCTGCCATATAAATTATTTGATCCACTATCAATCTTAACATGCTTTGCTGATCGCGTGACCCCGAGTGATGCACAGTGTCTTTCCTGGGTGTTGGGATTTGGGTGGGGGGACTTCTTGTCTTCCTTTTTCTCAGCTGAATTCATAACATGATGATGGCCAACTGGGCATTCTACGTTGCCATTGACTCTGTCTTTAATCCTCGATTATGCATTCTACGCTGCCGTTAAAGCTGTGTTTAGTTTTCATCCAAAATGAATTTTAAAACGCTTTAGTATGATATATGAGTTGGAACTGACAAGCTTAATACCACCAGACTTTACTAAATATATCAACAAGATGCATGAATAATAGACTTTTTTAATTTATCAAAATAATGTTTGCAAAGTCCTTCAGATACCAAATATTTCATGCGGATATAATTACGCAAGACACACGACAGTAGGAATGGAACAGGTAGGGTGACGTCAACAGTGTTGCAAGGGACTGACCTGAATACGCGCAGCTATCCCTCTAGGGAGGGACAAATACAATAGAGACATAGATAAACACATAGTCAACGTATGAAGGTAATAAAGAATAAATATATTTTAGAGGTATATGTCCACTCCAACTTGTACAGACGTGAACAAGAAAGAATGGAAATCAAATGTGATAAAAGAAAAGAAGACCAAAGTCATTTAATTACCACCAGCAACAACACCAAAACTACCACCACAACTACCATCGACTTCTACTCCTGTAGCAGGTCAGACACGTAAAGCAGTTTATAAACCATTTCAGAGTACCATCAGCGAAGAGTGGATCACTTATTAAAAAAATATGGAGAAGTTGTTAGCCAGCGTTTACTACGATTTATCCCATCCTGTACGTTGGCCACCTACAATCGTAGTTGCAAATATTTGTTTTGTGTCCACGACGTCTTTTCCAGATTTGCTTGAGTCGTGCCATTGAATTTCAAATTAGTGCGAGCCATCTAAACGGTGTTGAAACAAAGAGGTTGCTACCCTCTTCGGTGGCAAACAAAGTCACCACATTTCTGAACTGTGTTTTCCAAAACGAATTGAAGAAACGTAACATTCATTTTTTTCACCACCTATAAACCTGAAGCCAAAGCTATCATCATCGAACATTTTCAACGCACCTTCAACGAACGCATGTGGAAATATTTTACGCATCAACTCACTCTCAAGTACATCGACGTCTCACCAAACCATGTCCAATCGTACAATGAATCGTAAAATCGGAGCAACGGATGTTCCCCCGAGAAGTGACTCCCAACAACGAAGTGGCCGTCTGCGAGCGCCTGTTTGGTACATCCCAAACAGTGACTATCCCCAAGAAAGGTGGAGTGTTGGCACCAGAAGACTGGGTGCGCATTGGCAAAACTACTTTCGACAAAGATTACTTATAGAACTGGAATACCGATTTGTTTTGTTTTTTTTTTTCGTGTCACCGAACGTGTGCATGGCCGGCATCCTCCCGTCTATAAGTTGAAGATATGAACGGGTAAGTGTTAAAAGGAATGTTTCTTTTACCGAAGGTACAACGTGTGACCAAGCGAGAAGACGACGTGTACGAGATAGAAAACATTCTCGATCAAAGAACCCGAAAAGTGGGAAAACAACCTGTCATAGAAGTCAAATTACATTGAAAAGGATATCTTCCCAGTTTTTACTCTTGGTCGACGCTTTTGGCAATCATCGACTATAAATGAAGTGCTCATCATGTCCTTCAACACAGTCTCAGCTACCGCAGTAGCCATTTCATCGCCAGTTCTTCTCTGCGAGATCTACAAAAGCAACCCCTGTTGCTGTGGTGTGGAGAACGTTTACCTAAAACGTAAATCGTCTTTATCTGCCAAATCTTTGTTATGTATTTTGTCGTCGGTGCTGCCAATGCCAATTTGAGTTTGCAACGAGGCAAACAACTGTGGACCATTTTACTCAGCAATTGCATCGGTTACCTTTTTCCCAATCCGTCTCTGAAATATTGCTCTAATGATAAGAACAATAACGAAAATCTTGTGTCCAACGTTAGTCCTCCTTCCAACAGTCATCCTGACCATCCTCTTTTAGACACACCTCTGACTTGTATCGACTTCACGGACACTAGAACTATGGAATTATGAACAACCAATTTTGCATAACGATACCCAGTCACACTTCTAGAGAGGTGATTCTCAGCAACATCTTATGCTGTTACACAGCCAAATAAACTCAGACAATTTAATTGGATCACGAAGTATTTTGGGAAATGAATTTAGTGGAAATGATTCATCCTACACAGAAACGTCGTCAAAACTTAAAACACTTTTACGGTAGATGTTTATGAAGAGCAAGTGCAACGACACTTGGATGAAGGTGGTTGTGGAGGTGACTCTATAAAATCATAAGACCCCAAAACTAAACGAACCACTTATCGGTTGAAAATTATCACATGCTATTAATTTAGTAGTCAACATTTGGTGACCGGCATTGCTGAGATGTTCAACACCGTGTTTGGCAAAGTCTTCGAGAACGCCAGAAAGAGTGTCACGATCAAATACCACAAAATCAGTCGTCGTCTAATGATGGAACTTTCAGAGGACAAAGTATTGGCCATTACATTTTATCCTGAATTGTATCATATTTTGAGTGGAGACCCTAAGTTAATCAAGTCTAGAAACAAAATAATAGTAGTGACCAGTAACTTGTATTTTGCAAATAGTTTTGATTCTCTGTAGAAATGAACTATGGACTGAATTTGATCTTTGTGTACTCCGATGCAGCGCAGAACAACGTGGTGGGACACACTTCCGTACCGTTACTGCGTGTCATTCCTTTCAAATGGGATTTTTCCATGAACGCTTACGAGTAAGATGGAAACACCTAATACGTTCACCTCGAATTTGTACATCTTCACTATTTTTCCGTCAGTAACTCGTATTTTGCCAGTGTCAACATTACTATTAAAGGAGATCGGGGAAAAATATTCCATTCACCAAAGGGAAAGTAACAGTGAAGCTCCACTTTCGAAAACGAGTACTCTAAGCCTTTGTTGGTCATGTCTCCAGTGTACCAAGAAGCCGCTAAAATCAGCTTTTCGTTCGGTGACCCACCCCACCCCGTTCCGAAACCGATGGTGGCAAATGATTGCACGCCTTAAATGAAGGTTTCTGCGTTGATGCAAGGTAAAGAATTTCTCCAAAATGTCATCATTCACAAACAATAGCCTAAAGAAGTTTTGTTGAGAGCAGGTAAAAATGTATGGGGCAAAGACATTTTGGGGCGACGAAAAACTCCTATAAATGTCCCGGCCAATGCCGAGTCAGACATTCCTTCTTCCCTGA